CAATTGGAACAAAGACGACCTTCACAATATAGCTCCTTGGATTTACCGGATGCGGCAAATTCTTGATGCACTAAACGAATATAAAAATATAAAAATTAAATTAAAGATATGCTTCATAGTTTCTTTTATGTAAAACACGACCGATAATGATGATTCATGTATATAACAAGAGAAGTTAATATTCCTCAGACTGTATTACAGATCTAGAAATGTTAAAACGTGAAATCGGTTTTCATAAATTGAATATCTTAGATCTTCAAAATGCAGAATTAGAAAAATGCCAATGCCACAAGTAAAGATATGATCTCGTGATTCTCATCACGGGCTGCGACAATCTTCTAGATATGCTACCCTTAAGAACCAACCAAGGGATGTCCCAAAAATAGTGAGGTTTCTCATCTATAACTCAAACAACTGCATTGTCTCTTATATTTTAACATTGTTTTTTCGCATTGTTTTCAGCATGCAATGCGAGAATTATTGCAGACCCGCTTCTGATTCAACATTAAGATACAGATGTATATGTACGAATAGCTCAGCTGTGTAAGTACTAGGCTTCATATTACAAAGATAAAATATTCATATTCATTTGGAATTAATCGTTCGAAAACATGATGTGCATTCATGTCGTAGGCATTACAAGGAAGCAATTTATATGAAGGAAAGAAAATGATAGAAATGGCTTGACAATAGTGAGAAGAGCATGTGAATTATGCAGCTATTCTGTATGACTAGTATACTGGCTTCTTCTAGAGAGAAAACATGATGCTTTTAATGTGACTCTCGTGATTTTTATGTGATGCGATTGAAAATGCACTGATAAATTTTTAACAAAAAATCGATTAAAGTGTCTACTTCACAATCGAAAATTTCATTATTTTCTGATGACTGTCATCAGGTTTCTATGGGAAATTCATTCATTATTTTGACAAAAGATATATCGTTCTTTCGATACTTTAAATTCCTACGTACACTATAAATGAACTAAAGAGGAATAAATTTTGTCAAGACAGGACCCGACAAATACACAAGCTAGGCAAAAAATGTGATATTTTTCCTGAAGCTAGGCGTGGAACGTAATTCTCAATGGACTAAACTTCTGTATTCTGGAGATAGGATCCTCATAGAATAATCCGTGGAAATTTGAGACCACTGCATCTCATTAGGCGGAGAATATCATGAGCTGAAAATGGCAGGAGAAGTACAGCTATTGATGCACTACAGTTCTCGATGATTGGAATCAAACAGCACCTGAAGAAATACAAGAATTTGTGGAGAGTTTCTGTAAAATCTTATATATAGCCTATCAAAGTATTTTCAAATTCTATGATAACTAGTGGACAGGGTAGTCAAAACTGTGACTATGATTAAATTTTCAAAGTGATCCAGAAAGATTTCGACAAGATATTCATACTTCACTTTTACGGCATGTATGTGTTAATGTTATTCTCAAGGCAAACAACTACCTCTTCGATTCTATGTACAATGAAAACTAAACCTTCTGTGAGACATCTTGTGCTTCTTGATGAGCTTGACGAAGCTACATTCTCAACTCGCCAAGTCAGATCTATTTTATATCTGAGAAATTAATGCCTCGAGTCTATTGTGTCATTTACATGTCTGCTAATCGGAGCATATTCAGTGAATGTGTGAATACAAAGGTCTACAATAGTCTAATATAACCTACTTCATATATTTTGTATGCTGAACATAAATTGGAGAACAACTTTTGACTTCTAGCAGAAACTAAATGACTCAAAGTGGAAGGATTATTTTTTTTCTGGATCGATGAGAGCTCAGTGTGGTTCATATAAATTAGTCCTTCGCGTATTTTCAGATTAGAGACGAAAGGTGCACCCTCATCTTTCAACGGATGACAAAAACATGTGTTTTTCGAAATTAGAATATCTCGATTATTGATTGCTATACTATTGAGTGATGAATTTAAATTTGAATAAATCAATGTATTGTTTTTTGCTTGATAGTGGACACTGTTGAACTAATCGTATAGAAAAACTAGGCTCACAAAAGTCCGACAGAAACAAGAGTTTTTCATCTTTTCTCATTCCTTGACGAAAAAATATTTCTCTCGGCCATATTTTGTTCAAATCTTTTAATACATGTCAAATGATAGAGAGCTTTGAAAAGGATATTGTGACATCATTGAAATTTCAACAACATTGTCATAATGAAATTCTTCGTTATTTTTTTCCATTTTTCTCTACCAATGTTGAATAATAACTAGACATTATTGTTTTAACTTTTGTACGGTCAAGGCATTTTTTTTTTGAAAAGTGAACTACACAATTTTCTATGATAAAGTATTTTGTGTAGAATCATCTCAAGCTCAGACATAAAAGCTATTATTAAGTGTTTCAAAGACCTAACAAAAAAAACATTGGCTTAATCTTAGACAAACACCACAATGTTTTTGAACAATACAGAAATGATATTATCATTGTTTTTCATGATGATTGGTATGACGAATACATTGTTTATTCTACTTCCGATTAAAAACAATGTCATTAGCAAATCCTACTTACAAATCATGTTGGCTTTGGTATTATCGAATGCGTTCAATTTTTTAAACGCTTTTACACTTTTTTCTAATGGTTATATCTGTCTGAGCACAAATACATCCGCATTTATATCTGCATCTACTCAGATCGATGACTTCGGGCTCCGGAAACAAATGGATTTTGCCAAAGCTGGTCAGAAACGTGCAAGAAAGTCATTGTATCCGACAGGCAGCTACCGAACTTGACGGATGCAGATATTAGCATCCTCAACTGGAAAGTCTGCGATTTTTCTAATGATTTCAGGGTGTTTCTCTGTGAAAAGAACTGAAATAGGTCGAGAGTGATGGGTTCTGGTCAATGGCAAACGATCGTAACGGGTCGAAATACACTTGAAAATGCTAGAAACTTCGAACCAGAAATCCAAGACACGGATTCTAAGATTGAATTTTCCTTGTTCTGGTAGAAGCCACCCTTAACTGAGCCGTGTTGGTCACCGGATACGATCAATGTATTCCAGCCTCTGAGTTTCTATCGTTATTAAGAGCTTTCTGACTGACAACGACGCATTCTTTCACCAGCTCGATCGAAAACCCACGGACCAGGGCATTGGAATTATCCACAGCGGGAGAAAATGTTAATACTTTCCTGCCCGAGATACTGCATCCAAGCACCATTGATTTCCGGTGTTTTCCTCTCAGGATCGATCTGTATTTCTTCACGTGCGTGCATTCTCATGTTATTGGCGTTTTTGGTCTTCTCTTATTTTACATCTACATACCGAATAGTTCCTTAATACTAGGCCTTACTATAGAACATAACTCGCAAAAAAATTCTTATTTTCTATTTAAGAAGTTTAAACTTGCCGGTCTTTGAAGCTGTTGATGTTGGTGGCTTTGGTACGACAATATGTTTTGGCGGTTTTGGTACGGTACTTGGCAATGATGGTTTTGGTACAGCACTTGGTGTTTCATTAATTTTCTGGCTTTTTTCCGACTTTGAGGCGGATTTTGATTGTGGCAACATTTTTTCTAATTGACTAAGATCAAATGGATCGGCGAGCATTTGATATGGTGGTGCAATTTCACGAATATGGATAATATGTAGACCATCAGCCGAGCTTAATTTATCGATGACTTCAAAATAGCGACCAGGAGCAAGAAGAATTTCATCTTCCTGTTGAAAATATGAGTGTGCTTTGATGCACTTTCCACTTGTGGTTTGAATGGAAAACATCGTTCGTTCTCCTGATGTTCCCAAATATAATGGAGATTCGAGAACACTGATTGCAGCTGTACAAGAACTCACTGCCCACCAAGCAAATTTTTTTCCCTTTGGATACAGGGCACTGAGATCTTCTGGAACTCCTCGCCAAATAATATGATGCTCGCTTGGCCTATGATTCCAAAAGTTATGCTATGTTCTATTTCACGCATGTTACTTACGGTAGTTTGAAAAAAGCTGTCAGAAACAGCTTCAAATATCTGAACCATGGCTGAAGTTTTGATCGATCTGCCATCCGAAGAGTTCGATTGAGTATTGCATAAAGACTATTTTCCCTTTTTTTCCATTCCATCGTATATAGATGAATTGAGGCGGATTCATCTTGAGTGAGTCCATTCTCAGGTTCTTCCGAATTCATTTTTGCAATTACCATATTTTGTTTAAATTCTTTGTCGAGTATTTTTTCCAGAGGCTTGCAGGCCTCTTCCAGCGATAATAGCGACTCGTCTTCATAACCAGAAACTGGCTGTAACATTTGTTTTGGTTCATCACGCACGCTTGCCAACAAGCGATAATTTACGTTAGCAGATGCGGCCATCGATTTATTTATGCTTCTTATCTGAAATTCATTGAAAATGAAAATGTTGTATCCTGTTGAACAAGGAGAATACTTGATTAAGTAATGAACAGCGGAAATAAATGCCGAAAAGAGTATTATTAGAATGAAAACTCAAATGCTTTTCTTGCTTCTCTCGAAACAAGCCGACCGTACTGTAGAAAGAGGCTGTTCATAGAGTATAGCGCACAGTTATTTTGACGACAGTGAGCTCATATGTATATTTTTGTCTGTTTTAGATATTTCTAAGCATCCTCGAAAAGCTCATTCCCACTCAGGTAAATGAATCCGACCAGATCTGGCAGATTCGACCAATTAACAAAATCCTATGGAACCCGAGTGACGGAATCACTAGTGGATCCAATGGTCGGTACCTAATTATGAATTTCCGATGACATCAAACTGTCGGAGTCCTATAGGATCGTAAAAACGTTTTAGGACATTCAATGAATCCTACGTGTTCTGATTAGATTCACCATTCGAACTCTATCGGAATCTAATTAAAACATGTGATGGCTTTTCATTCTTCAAGTTTGCTGTGATTCATCAAGGTTAGATTGGAGACCGTCTTACAAGGTAACTATTTTTGTCCTGTCCCGCCATACCTTCATGGAAGGACTGATAAATTGAAACTTATTATCAGATAGACTACTATGTGGCTTTAAAATATCTATGTGATCGTTTTCAACATTAATATTCATGTGTATTTAATATAATTTCTTAATAGGCCTATCGACAATTACACTAGCACTGCACTTTATTATTACTCACTACAACGCTTTTGTATTGGGATTCGATTATAAAAGTATAGCGGTTAGTATTAATTTAATGTAATGGTAGTACTAACTAGGCATGCAACGGTGATGGCGGTCGCCGGTAAGGACCGGTTATTGGTAAGAAACGGTTACCGATTACACCCGCTAGAGTCACTGTTGAATCCCTAATGCTAATCCGACACTGCTATTTCCAGTGAATGGTGTTATTTGATCAGATGTGTCACAGAAAAATTTCGTAAGAAAA